ATGTCGTCGAATGTTGGTTGTTGGCATAAGTGAGTACAGTGATGGACCATTAAGTGTCATGCTTTGGTTCTTCTCCTTCACCAAGTATGAGATTTTAAGAGAATTGGTGTGAGCTTGGTGGTGAATATGGTGATCGGAGGCGGTTTTATGAAATGGGTTTTAGTTATTGTAGCGATTCTAGACCGAGTTAACTCGGTCTCTGCTAACTGCCATTTCAGTGTCATTGATGATAACAAGCTCTACGACTACAGCTTGGGCTCTCCCATCCCCTTATTCCCTCATGGCGTCCAAAGCGAAGATGGGTACTCTCTCTCTCTCTCTGAGCCTTCATCTCTCTGCTGCTTGATTTGAGTATTTCTTATTTTACATGAATGATGAATGTTACCTTGTAATTTCAACAGTCTTACTTAAACATGGGTTATTTCTCACCTTCAATAAATTTGCCCCATGCTTGTAATCTGTGCCCATTGAGTTTAACAAGCTTTGCTGCAATGGGTGGAACATGTACCTCATCTGCATGTCCTGCAACTGTTTGATTCGTTTGATTTCTCTGTGCTGTTTCCATGTTGGAGACGGGCTTCCATCAAATTTTTCATAGTAGTGTGCTTTTATCCTATTAAGCATTTATCAAAAAATTTAGTTGATTAGTGTTTTATTTAGGCAGCTTAATGCGCATGTCTTTTTAAGAAATTCGGTTGAGCCATTTTGATTTCTCTAGTTTACTATTGGGAAGCATCTTCAAAAGAGCAATAGTCGTACGGAACATTATGCTTTAATGGGTGGCAAAGATTTGTCAGACTCGATACACATTGAAAGCACTCTGCTTTATGGTGACATTTGTGATGTATGTTTGTTAATTATTGACGTGGCCAGCTTCTAATCAAAGTAAAAATCGTTGTTCCTTGCTCTTGAATTTCACTACTACAGATTCTACAAGGTGGCAGCAAATGAGACTGTGCTCTGGTTTCAGGTTGGCTCCATCAGGTCACACTTTTGTTTTTCAACTGATCTTTTGTATGACTATGATCGTGTTACCACAATGCAGTTATTTATGTATTGGGCATTTACTGCTTAATTGCAAGAAGTAAATTAGATAGTATGTTCTCCATTTTTGGCACATGGACAATTCTGCTTTTCCATAACAAATTTAAAATGAGAAAGATTCTTTATTGTGAAGTTGACTTCTATGATTAGGTCATTGTTCTTAAGCTGAAGATATATTTTATGATTCCATTATGTATTTATGTTATATTTATTTGAGCCTAGGCCTGTATTGCAGCTAGATTCATTATTGAGTTTCTTTTCTTTGACTGTCTGGAGCAGCTTTGCGATGGAATGATTTTCAATCACGACCCACCTAGATGTGTCGATTGCTGGGTAAATTTCTTGGCTTCCATGCTGTTCTTGGGTTTATGTTGGTAGAGACGGCAATGATATTGTTGCAATCTGAATGACTTGCACTTATTTACTTGATGTACTTAGTTCCTCCCTGTATTTTGACATGTAATGAAGCACCTCCGGATAGTTTGCTCTCTCTCGCTCTCTGCCTTCAAAGAGAAAAGAGAAAATTATAGAGATGTGACAATATGGAATTTGACAACTTAAGGTTGCACTTAGATACTGCCAGCTAAAACAACTTGAGGAAGAGTTATTTCTAAAATTTAAAATCTAAAACTAGCATAGAAATACTACGGGATTGGAAAGATTATTTTTACAGCATTCAAAGGTTGGGACGCCTTTTGTCCAGTTTTCACATATAGAAAGGAAAATATAGTAAAACTTACTGTCCAACACAAGTTTCTATGAAATATCTTATTTATTTGATTATCATATTGAGCATTGCAGGATTGTGGGGGGCCGTCACGCTGTGGCATGGGTTGTAGTGCGCTTGTGGCAAACAATATAGGAGGTACATATGCTTTCTGTTTCATATGATTAATGTTGTATCCCTTCATGTACTTTACTGTATCTGTTGCTTGTTGATAAAGCCAGAAATAGGAGTTCATTTTCGATTGCATTTGTACGAGAGTGGTAGTCAGTGACTCAATCATCTTTGAACCTGTTGATGAAGGAATGATACCCTTACTATCTATCTAACTGTGCTGCTCTCTTTTTTAATTTCAAACAAAGCTGGACCTCGTGATGGGCCTTGCTTGTCTAATTTGGACAAAAAGTTGTTGTGTTTTAGAAGACTAATTATTCTTCTAAAATTAACCATGTGGTGACTACAGGTTACGATGTGTGCACTACCATTGGGCATGCCTCGAGCATTGACATTAACATAATTGGTGAGTTTTCTGTTTTATTTTTCTCGGCGTCTCCCCCAGATTTAAAAATTGAATGATACTTTTAAAATTCAATACTTTAGGCGATTATGGAATTACGCAAATATGTCTGGACATGCTTGCTTTCTGTCCTTCATGATTGATTCTGTTTGGGAATAAAATTTTGGAAGACTTATGACTTCCTTGTTATATGGCAGACAAGAAGAATCCTAACAGTGGTGTCATTGTTAAGATGTCAAATAGTGGCCTAAAGCGCAACTGTTCGCTCTCTGTATCTGTAATTTGTGATCCAAAGAGAGTTCAGGCAAGAATTTGTACAGAATAATTTGTGTAATTTGAAAAGATCCTGGCGTTCTGACATGCCTGGTTAATGGCCTAGTTTCTCATCTTTCTATTTTACAGGGGCCACATTCACTGGAGAAAACTGGGAAATGTGACTACGTGAGTGCTTTTTGTTTCAGAAAAGCTTTTATTCCTCCATGCTTATTTCTTAATGATATATAAGATAGTATTTTACTTTGATAAAGTTTTCCATGGGAGTTGGGATATTCTATCGCAGACCTTTAGCCTCCATCTTCAGCTTTTGTGCACTAAGCTTATTACCTGATTTGATTAGTAACTTTAGCTTGGATGCTTCCCTCCATTGCTTGCCAAGCCAACCAAATTTATTGAACTGAACCAATCTGATTAAAATGGTAGAATCTTTGTTGGAACTGAAACCTGTTTCATTTTCCTGCTTAACACTTGTGTGCTTCTCAGTTGACTGAAAATGTGCTCAACCCATTTTTTCCAGCTGGTGGCGCTCTATGTTGTAGGCTTTCTTTTTGTGTATATGGTCAAGGTGGAGGAAAGGGTGGTGGTATTAGGAAAACTGATAAACTAGCTAGTCTTTTATGCTGTGAATATTTATATCATAGATTTTAAAATATGGTGGTCAAAAAGACTTTGAAATGTGTAGAACTGGTTCTCTTTTGACTGTTCATTTAGCAAGATGGAAATGGGGGTTGATAGTGAGTATGTGCGCGATTCATAAAGTTTGATGTTCATAATCTTCTCTATCTGACAGGCTACAGTGCTAACGCATCCTTCTGGTTGTGCCAAGGTCGTACATGTTCATGGACACGGGTGGGGCTGGTTTGGCACCTTAGGAACCATGTGAGAGTCAATTTTTTGCCTGAAAGTGGTTACCTTACAAATAGCATTGTCTATGCCTAACCATTGAAGTTTTATCAAGTCATCTTAATTGATTGATAATTGATCTGACTTTCAGAGTCTTATGCCTTTTTGGAGCATATCTGCTGGCTGGGGCAGTTTATCGATATTTCAGTCTTGGAGTTCGTGGAATACACGTATGTTCCTCAATTTGTTCAGCTTCTTGCATGCAAACTATTTAGTTATGCTTTATTTTTGTCCATGTATATGTCCTGAAATTGCTGTATGCATTTATTTTCTGTGCATTATTTTGAGATGGAATTCAAGTTCTCTTAGAAATTTATCCATAGGAGAAAGAGCTAAGATGTGTCAATGAGTCAGGTAAAATGGTGGTCATGAGTTAGGTAAAGGAAACATGGTGATGTATCAAACAGTGGATGGGCCATGGCAATTGAAGGGGAGAGAGAACCAAACCACATGATCCTTAGGGCAAGTGAATTCAAACTTGTAGCAGTCATGAAATAGGGAATAAAGTCTCATGTTTCTTTCATCTTACTTTTTGTGGCAGCATGCCATTTAAAAAATCATGGTCGCATATCATCTATTCAGTCTGATACCAAAACTAGATCACATTGCAATAGGGAAAAATAATGATGATCGTTATTCCTTTGGTATTTAAGTCCTAGTAAATAAACTCTGATGCTTTGCTCCTCCGCTTATCAGGTTATTCCAAACTTGGACTTTTGGACCAGTTTACCTCAGAGAACACAGGTATTCTGTTTAGGTGTAATGATATGTCTCTTTCTTCAACACTTCTAGTGCTGTGGCATAGATATTTAGAAACTTTTCAATTAAAGTGCCTTTTACTTTATCTTAAGCTCTCAATATATTGTTAATAACATACAATATCTTCTCATTCCAGAGTCTGTTTGCATCTTTATTGCACAAATTTACGGGATCTTCTTCTCAAGGTCATCAAAGCTCGTATTCTCCTGTCAACTTCTGAGCATACAGACTACAGATGTTTGTTTTAGGTTAAGCTGGTGAATTCATTTTGTATCATCTCTACTCTGCCATCAACATTTAGAAAACAAGAGAAAATGGGTCAGTATGCAGACAACACCCTTGTCAAAGCTAGCACTTAAGCTCGATATGTGCCATACACCATAATAGAAAGGGTGCTTTTTCCATCTCACCTATGCTTTCCATCTCTCTTTTTGTTCTTTTTCCATAAGTCATATTTTATTTGTAATCTAAAAACATCCTTACCAAGTACTTATTTGTTATTTCCCCTCTTATGTTGTGTCAGCTGCTGTTCAGGCAATTTTGGATGTATTGTTTGCATATGGATCTTAATCTTTCTATAGATAAAATTGATAAATGAGAACATTGGATTTTGAGTATCATGCTTTAACTTTGCTGCTGAAATGTATGATAGTGCGCAACTAAAAGTTTGGGTGTGAAGTGAGCAGTTTTATTTTTTGCCCTTTTAAATCTTATTTGTTGAACGTTAATATTTTTCCTATTTAAGAATCTGAATATGTTTGAAAACATGCAGATACTGGACACATCTATTCTTATGGTAGAACTATATTACAGATTGATGCTTACTTCACAAAAAAATAAAACTTCTGGCTTGTTTACTGGTATACTGGAAGTATTATCCAGTTACCTTGATATATATCACAGCTGAGCAGTTAGGGCAGTGATATGGTGATATGGTGGGAGAAGGCCTTGCAGATAGATGCTTGAGGGATATCTCATGGATTTGGTGAATAGATGCTGGTTCGGTTGATACTGACTTAACCTATTAAAATGATCCAAATATGCTACATGCAGGGAAGACTTCCTGTTAGTATTGTGTAATTTTCCAGATCATATAATTTTCTTGCCTTTACTTTTCCAACAACAGAAATAGTATCGGATTGAAACCACACAAGGGTTACCTGATGTGCTAGTATTTTCTACTGATTGGGATGTGGCTGGCTAACCACATTGTGGAGGCTCTTTGAAAAGCACCAGCAAACGCAGCAACTGCTAGTTGTGCCCAAGAAGATGCCGGACAGGTATAAGAGCAAAGGTGAAGACTCTTTTTCCCAAACTCTTAGAAGCATGAAGTACAAGCAGCCTCGCATTGTCTGCCTCGTTATCCTTTTGCCACTTTTTAATGCGCTCTCTGTCTCTTCAGCCTCAGGTAAGAAGTTACATTGCCAACTTTTGTAATGAAATTTATGCAATGTTTGAGGGAGGATGGCATTTTTTTTCTTGTGTGTTGTGAACCCTTTTCTTCTTTTATTCTTTTGGTGGGGAAGGGAGGGAGGGTTGGGGGGTCAATGGTGAAGAGCATCATGAAATAATGCGGCATAAAGATGATCAAACTTTCTGCTTTTGTATCAATGCATGCAATTACATTGTAAAATTGTGTTTGCTGAAATTATATTGGTGAGGACCCAAACTTTAGAAGGAATGTTTTTAGCTCTGAATATACCAGTTTACGGACTAAGAATTTGCAGTTCGGCCTTATACTGCCCACTACTATATACAAAACTCAAATGATCTATAGAACATTACAATAGAATCCCATAGATTTAAAGAAATCATATTCATATTTTTCTTTCGCTCTCCCTCCAACCACTGAGTTCCATGTGCAAAGTTGCGATGCACATGAAACACCTACACAGGATTGCATGAATATAAATTTTATATATATATATAGTATGTTTCTGTTTCGGCAGAGAACAGAATTTGAACTCATGGACGAGTACTGGAATCCATTCGTGTCCTAAAATATAGGGTGATTTCTTTCCTTGACATAACATGCTAGATATTTGGCAGAATATAGGGTGATTTCTGTAATATAACAGGCTAGATCTTTAGCAGAAGACAGTACAATATATGTGTGTAGAGAAGGGAGGAGGAAGACACAAAATGAGAAAGAACATAACTTCGTGCATATAATATGATTGAAACATCCAAGAGAAACAAAATAAAACTCATAGGCATATTAAGATTACAAGTTATTAATGAAGACAATAATTGATTAGTTTAATGAGTTTAGTTGTTGGGTCACCATTATTTGTTGTGGTTGTCAGCTAATCACAGCTGCGTAAGAAAGCAGGTAAATGCCAACCACTTTGAGGCTGAAATGTGACCCAATTTCGAATCACCCTCTACCCAAAAAACCCAGAGCCCCCTTCATTAAAAAAAATCTCTCTTTCTTTTTATCATCATGACAAGAAAGTGCAAGGAGAATGATTTGTGATGTTTGACAGTCGGACACGCTTACCTTAGAAGCCAAGCCACATTACAACCAGTTCACATCATCATGCATCAGTATCAACCCACTACACTTCCTCGTTCTATGAATTTAGATTTAGATTTCTATTTGGACCAAACATGGTAGTGGATTTTATTATTTCCAAACATAGAAAAACCTGAGATGCAATTTACGATTCAGTTGCCGACATTTTGGACATGGTTTTTAGTTTTAAATACAAGGGAATTAAATAAGATATAATGGAAGTTTCCCATGTTTGTATAATTATTTTTTTAATACAAGTGATGTTCTATTTTAATTTAATTTAAATTACGGGAAAGGGGATTCAAACTCGGTACTGAATGGGGAGTACATCCGCCCTAGCCAACTTGGCTAAGCTCATGTATGTGATATTTGAATTTTTACGTTCATATTAACAAATATCATCCATTAAATGTGAATCATTATTAATTTCAACAAATTGGAAAACAATCATATAAAAAATTTGAACGTGTCAAACAAAATAGGGTAAATTTTCATATATGAATAGATGTATTAACCCTAAATAATATAGGAAATAAATCTAAACTACTATACAAAAAATAGGTAAGTAACTAAAATCCTAACTAAACAAGCACTCGTCAACAGAAAGTATCAAATATACTCCAAAATTGTGAGTGCATATAAGAGTAAATTTCACACTTCCAAAATTATAAACTTGATAGTTAATTAAGAGCTGAACTATCCAATTTAAAATCAATTAGTAATGATAGAGAGACTCGGAATATTACTCTCTCAACAACTAATACAGATTTTCTTCTAACCATAAACAGACCAACTCTGTCGCAAAAGTCTTGCCTTGGAGAGAAACTTACCATGGCCAGTGGGCACCAACGATAGTGCATTATAATATTCAACTTTAATTTCAAAGACTGCCCAGCTTTCATTTCATATAATAATAATCCCTCCCTTCTACACAAAGACGATGAATCTCTCTCTTTATGTTCCTCCTCCTCCTCCTCACTCTCAAGAATCTCAAACAAATTAATTCGCATTCGATTCATTTTTGCACAGATACGTTATAATTTTACATGAGAATAATGAAGCCACCGCCATTCTCTTCCTCTTCCTCCTCTGTTTTTCGCAAGGCCCGCCTCTCTCCCTACCTCTTCACCTTGCTCGCATTCATCCTCTTCGTCGCCGTCCTCTATGGCGAGGACCTCATGTGCATCTTCGGCCAGCAGCTCCAACTCAGCCCCAACTCGGACCCACTCGTCATCAGAACCGGTGAGTCAACTCAACCCATCACCGAGTAATTTCCCATTTAAAAAATGGAATTTGCAATTGAAACTGTGGTTTCACTGAATTGAGTTTTTTGTTTTGGGGCTAGGGAAGAAGAGGGAGAAGCTGCCGTTCGCCATAGGTAAGAGCGAGGAAGGCTGCGACATATTCAGTGGGAGGTGGGTTTGGGATGAGTCGAATCGGCCGCTTTACGAGGAATCGGAGTGTCCGTACATTCAGCCTCAGTTGACTTGCCAAGAACACGGACGACCCGACAAGGATTACCAGAAATGGCGATGGCAGCCGCACGGCTGTGATCTTCCCAGGTCAGTGGCTTAGTCTCTTGCTCTGCGCACCCATTAAACGCATTTTTTAGCTGCTCGTTTATTTTATAACGCGTTATTTCCTCGTTTAATTGGTTTTCTTTGGGAAAGTTGAACCGATTTTGCTTTCCGTTGCTTTACCAAAAAAAAAAACACAAAATCAAAGTCTCGTACGATGGGGACTCTCCTGTTCTCGATCCCTACTCACGAATCTCATCACCGACAAACAAAACCGTTTGTCCCTTTGTCTTTGTTTTGCCGAACCTGTTTTTTCCAATCGAACCAGCCGGGTGGCTGGCCGGCCGGGTGGACAGTCTTGCATGGGTTTAGAATAAGCTGCATTAAATTCCCGGGAAATCGAAATCACTCGTACCTTTCTTCCATCTGTCCCCGTGTGAGACAGGCTATGAACGGGGCCCCCATTTGTGTATGAACACGTGTATGTTTTCAACGGCTGTGATGGCCGCCGTTAATTTCGTTTGTATCCGCCGCTAAGGCTCCGAAATGAGAAAGGCCCAACCATATTGGGCACGGCCCAGTTTGCTGATCATTTCCTGTGCAATTAATGTAGACAACTTGTTAGATTGTCAAAACTATGTTAATATACGTAATTTAATTTCTCTAATAATATAGACTTCTTCTGCTCTCTTTTTTTCTTCTGTTTAATTTAGTTTCTGTAATTACTAATTAGTAGGTGATCAACTATTACAAAATCATATACTTGATGTTGGATTTTCTAATTTCCCAGTAATGTAAAGTGTAAAAGATTCTACTCACAAATTATACAGCTTCAACGCAACATTGATGCTCGAGACACTACGCGGGAAGCGGATGATGTTTGTTGGCGATTCTCTGAACCGGGGTCAGTATGTTTCCATGATTTGTCTTCTCCATTCGCTCATCCCCGAGGATGCCAAATCTATGGAAACCTTCGACTCAGACTCACGAACTGTTTTCACTGCAAAGGTTAGTCACATTTCTATGGGTTTCTATGTTGGTTCATACTTGGTTCTAAAATGTACATTCACATTTTACTGAATTTCTTTTTTCCACAATGTAGGAGTACAATGCCACAATTGAGTTCTACTGGGCGCCATTTCTTCTCGAGTCAAACTCCGATAATGCTGTCATCCATAGGATATCTGAGAGGCTTGTCAGGAAAGGGTCCATCACTAAGCATGGCAAGCATTGGAAGGGCGTGGATGTCTTGGTGTTTAACACCTATCTCTGGTGGATGACCGGCTTGAAGTTTAAGATCTTGTACATTCTTGCCTCAATCAAATTATACATTTTTTTAAATAGCTATCTCTTCCTACATTGCTTAACCAAATGTTTAATCTTCAGGCAAGGTTCCTTCGATGATGAGGTGAAAAATATCGTGGATGTACCAACAACAGAGGCTTATCGCATGGCGATGAAGAGTATGTTGCGATGGGTGCGGAGGAACATGAACCCCAAGAAGACGAGGGTCTTTTTCACTAGCATGTCGCCTTCTCATGGAAAGTGAGCACAATTCTGTCACCCCATTTCTTCAAATCATATATATAGCATAGCAAACCATGGACAAAAATAGACAGAGAGTGAGAAAATTTGAGATCAAATTGAAGCTTTTTAGAAGGGAACTTGTGCTTGAAACTTTTACAAAATTTAGGTTGAGGACTAATGTTTATAATTTGGCAGGAGTGTAGAATGGGGAGGTGAATCAGGAGGTAACTGTTACAATCAAACTACTCCGATTGAAGATCCTAACTATTGGGGTTCAGATTCCCGGAAAAATATAATGGAGGTGATAGGAGACGTGTTCGGTAAATCAAAGGTGCCCATTACATTTCTCAACATCACCCAACTCTCGAGCTATCGCAAAGATGCACACACAGCAATCTACAAGAAGCAGTGGAATCCACTGACTCCAGAGCAATTAGCAAACCCTGTTAGCTATGCAGATTGTGTACATTGGTGTTTGCCTGGCCTTCAGGATACTTGGAATGAGCTTCTATATGCCAAGCTTTTCTACCCTTGATTATATGGCTTCTTTCTTTTCTTTTCTTTTTTGAAAGAAAAAAGAAGGTGAATTCTTCTCCTTTCAGATAGCCTTGTTGGTGAGCTCCAGCCGGTGGCAATTGAATAGTGTAAATTAACGATGAAATGTGTGATATGGAAGGCTAAAGAAAGAGGGAACAGGATGTAGGGGGGGTGGGTGGAGGCGCCATATAGGAAGATAGATTTGGTCTTTTTTAAGTTGAAATATCAAAATGAAAATTTTGTTATTAAATTTGGAGGTTTGTGAAGGGAAATTCTTGAAGTGATTGAATGTGCAATGGTACAGGATGACTTGCAATGTTTCAGGCAATCTTTTTTCGTCTGGTTAACCCCTACACATTATCAAGTATCGCTGAAAACTAAGTTTTATTTTGGGATAATTGTAGAAATGTCATATGAACTTATACCTTAGTTTCAATTTGTCACCTTAAAGAAAAATTTAAGAGAAATGTCACCTAAATTTTTCAAAATTCATGATTTGTCACACCCCAACCCCAACCCCATTTTTAAGGATTTTTTTTTTAAAAAAAAAAAAAAAAAACCCCCCCCTTTTTTCCCC